AATTTCATTTTAATCATTTATTTCAAAATCAACTCAACATACAATTAAAGAAAATAAACATTACGTATTATAACATACAGTCGAAATAATTAAGTTATGTCAATTAAGTTAAACAAATCAAATATCAGTGTATGTATCATTGAAAATGAAAAGGGATAAGCAAAATAGGCAAATGATCCACAAATGCCTTAACTCATGCTCTCCTTCATAAAAATAAAAGAAAGATAATTCTTATTGCTTTTTACTGCTACTGTTCTTAATAACTGTTTCCTTTTGTTCGTAGCAGCATAAAGGTTCGGTTAGAAAAATGGAAAGCAATTTATTAGTATGGAATTACAAGAACTGAGCTCCCATTAACTTGTGGTGTACCACAAGGGTCTGTGTTTATCTATATTATAATTACGCTTCTTGAACACAATGCAAATTCGAGGTCCTCAATAAACATCTGGGATTCGAAACCTACTGGTATGACAACAGTAACAACATAGGGCATCAAATCCTCGATCACACGAAGTGAATATCATTCCATTTTTCAGGTTCGACGAGGAAAAATAATGACTTTTACCATCGTTTTATTACCGGACAGGTAGCTGTCTCGCGAGAGCATATCTGTACACCTTCGCATTCGCTGTCTCTCGGTGAGTTGTTTTACAATCTTGCAATTTTGGAACGCCAAAGGGAAACTTTTAAACATAGTACACAGTACATTTTGAAGGACCTATGGTTTTTAGGCACTGTTGGTTAACAAATAGTCGATTTCGAGCACAGTCTGTTCAAAAGGTGTTGTATATGGCAGGCTTACCTATCGCAAATGTCTTTTAGATCAGGAAAGTATTGTTTGTGAAAGTTTTTAACTTATTTGGCCTTTTTATAAGAGCTATTCACAATTTTAATTGCATTTCTTCGATTTTTTCCTATTTTATTTGTAAACTCATCAGTAACCATGTACAACTTTATACTTAAATTTATCGAATGGTGCAGGTGGTATTTTTAAATTGAAGTGTGATGCTAAACAATTTACTGTTCAAATCCATATAGAAAAGGTTTTTAAAATGTTAAATAAAATTATATATACAGTAAAAAAATAATATTTTTGTATGTTTAAGTATTAATGTATAATATATCTTTTTTATTTTAAATTAAATTTTTGAAGAGAAATTTTATCACTGATTCTGTTTTATTTGTAATAATTTTGAAAAATATTTGTTAAGCTGGAAGGAGAAAATATAATACCTAGCATAATAATTATACAATTGTTTTGTGCATAGGGAACCGGACTTAATTAGTGTTTATACTATTTTCCATTTTTGCTATATAAGTTTTTATATTTTATTTGCGTTTGAGAATATGTATATGTTTTGGGCAACAAAACTTAAAGATACCTCCATGCTATCACAAAACTATATAACTGTATCTTCATCATGAAAGCAAATAAAATTTGCTGTATACATATTCCATGTTTGTATATATGTTTATAATATAAATATTTACAAACCTTCAACTTTTATAAAGAATGAGCAGTTCCCAATATTGTTATCCCTGTCGTTTGCTGTATACGTAATCTGATGTGCAACATTACTGGCCGGAAATACGTCACCAGGGTTGTGATTTGATGTAACAGACACCACAGTGCCACTGTTGTCGGTGGCGTTGGCTGGTGACCAATATAAGCGGGCAGATTTGGATGCTCTGTCTGTGAACACTGACCAAGAAGAATCCGATGCTTTTGCAACAAAGTTGTTAGAGTGTGACGGGCAATTTACTACAGGACTTTCAAGGTCTATTAAAGATAATAATGTTATTTACGCCAATGGTCAATGGTCATATATTTATATAGCACAATAAATAAAGACAATGAAAACGGCATAAATACAAAAATAAAACAATAAAAACGATGTGAACGGCATAAATACAAAAATGAGGAGCTCGATGATTTAGGAAGGGGCACTAGCTGGCAAAATAAGGTGATATGAGGTGATTTTTAACTCTTTGAGCCTGATTTTTGTTTTGCATTGAACAGTCAATGGGGCGACTGGGGATGCAAGCTTTGGCGGAGGTAGGGGTACCCCCATATATGTCAGTGATCAGAGGGGACTGGGCCTTAAAATGATTAGGCTAGCGTTGAACAAAAAAAATTCCAGAGGCCTACTAACCAACAACAGCAAAATGTAGTTCACATTCTTCAAAGTTACCCGATGCGTCGGTTGCTGTTATAATAGTTGAGTATGGTGGAAACAACCTCATTGGGTACACGTCACCGGGCTTGTTAGGGGAACTTGTGATAAGAGGTGGAATCCCGCTATTATCTATAGCGACCAGTGGAGTCCATGTAATTGTACCATTAGGACTTCCGTCGTCGGTGGAAGCGTAGATAATACTGCCGTAGTTTGTTGAATAGTAGTTAGAAGTTATCTTTGGGCACTCGAGCTGCGGCCGTTCGTTATCTACAATTAAAATGTTATATAACTGACTTCATACGATATCAATTCCTACAAGATCAAATCAGGTCAGTTATGAAGACGTTCATGACTACCGTAATAGACAGGTTGTTGCATAACATTCAATAAGGTATGGCATAGTTCATAAAAAATTTGGCAAACTAAAACGTCAATCCTAGTTTCATTTGTGTCACTGTCCAGTGGCGTACGGTAACAGTTATAATATTGTTGGATCTGGAGGGGTACCCCCTCCCCCACTTGGGCATAAAATAATATAATAAATAAATAAATAAAATAAAATATAAATTAAATCTCTAGACCACCTTTTCAGGACCCGTGAGCTGATTTTTTTTTTTGTTACATTGGGAAAATTAGAAGTCGGAAAAGCTCATTTCGTGCCATCTAGGAATCAACATTTTCCCAGGAAGGACCTCTGACCCCCCTTTCTTTTTAGTGTTCATCGATTCATAGAAAAAAAATTACGTATGCTACCCCATTTTTTTTCACACTAATATGCATATTTACTGTAATAAGAATGAAAAAAATTTACCTGACCTTTTCAAGAGCTTGAATTTTGAAGAACTTAAAGCTCATTAAAAGACACTTCAGAAGTCGTGAAAGATTATTTTCTGCCATCTAGGAATCAAAATTTTCCCGGGGCAGGACCCCCTTTCTTTGAGGTTAATCGATTCATGGCAAAAAGAATACGTATGCAAATACTCTTTTTTTTCTGTATCTAGACCTATACCGGTACACACATAATTGGCCTATTTACTGTAATACGTATCTAGCACACTTTATTCAAAATTTGAATACAAGACCAACATGGCCCAACATGTAAAACATGTCTGGCACGCACAAATACCAGATATCACACCAGGTAAATACCATCACCAAACTTTCACATTATTTTTGTTTGTTTATTTTCTATTCTATTTAATATTAAATAAATAAATAAATAAATAAATAAATAAATAAATAAATAAATAAATAAATAAATAAATTCTATAGATAGACAGATAGATAGATCAATAGATAGATAAATAGATAGATAGATAGATAGATAGATAGATAGATAGATAGATAGATAGATAGATAGATAGATAAATAGATAGATAAATAGATGATAGATAATAATAGATAGATAAATAGATAGATAGATAAATAGATAGATAAATAGATAGATAGATATATAGATAGATAAATAAATAAATAAATAAATAGATAAATAAATAAATAAATAAATAAGTAAATAAATAAGTAAATAAATAGATAAATAGATAAATAGATAAATAGATAAATAGATAAATAGATAAATAGATAAATAGATAAATAGATAAATAGATAAATAGATAAATAGATAAATAGATAAATAGATAGATAAATAAATAAATAAATAGATAAATAAATAAATAAATAATAATAATAATAATATTTAATATTTACTGTAATAAGAATGAGAAAATTTACCTGACCGTTTAGAAGAGGACATAAAACCTTGAATTTTGAAGAACTTGAAAGTAATTAAAGACACTTCAGAAGTCGGGAAAGCTTATTTCCCGCCAACCGCCAAATTTTTCCGGGGGGGGGGGGACTCCCTGACTCCCTTTCTTTTTGGGGGTTTTTGGAAACATTTTTGACACCCCTCCCCCTAAAATTTCAACCCACATCCTCCACTGGTTATGAACTCTCATTGGCCAAAGCCATAGCTGTTCGTAACAGCTATGAACTCACACTGGCTAAAGCCAGGCCCCTTTAAAGGTCTCCGGAATATTAATTATCAGCATTTTGCCCAATGCAATGACCGAGTGGCGCACTAGCGCGTAAAAAGAGATACTTAGTAAAATACACCAAAGCGGGCGAGGCTATATCCCACTGGGTAGTAGGCCCTCGAAGAAAACCTAACCACGGCTTCGGACCTTGTTCATACGTTGCTGCGATAATGTCATAATGTATTAGTATGCGGAAAAACTTACTCTTTCTAAAAGTGCCGTTCATCACACTATTCTTTTAGCAGTGGCAAGTTCAAAGAGGGGTCTGGCCCAGTGGTGGCGCCAGCGTCTGAAATCTAGCAGGGCGAGGGAAGTGAGGGAAAAATAACATTTTAGGGGAGGGGGAAATATGCTGGGTTGCCCAAGGTGGGTGTGGTTGGGCCTTGTACAAAATGTCTCGAAAATGGTTAAAAAATATGTCAATTTAGGGGTTTCAGATTCTTATTTTTTAATCGATTTTTTAGCTAGTCTACTAACATGTAGAAAATATATAACAATGTTTGCTCCTCGATGGTATTCTTCTTTTTGGGGGAAGGGAGAAACTGGGAAAATGAACATTTTCTGGGGTGGTAAATTCCCCTGTTCCCACCCCTCTCCCCCCGTAGCGCCGCCACTGGGTATGAGCAGCCGGTCCGGGAATCCCTAAATTTTAAAAATTATATTCAAATTTGAATCTGAGAGCTCCATTTCCGGCCATTTAGATGTGCCATAATCAGATTTTTTCAGCCATTGTGGGTCTGGGGTATTCTTGACAATCTATTTCGAATTCTTTGTCCAACAAAATCAATTGCAACAAACCACATTTGGTAAACGGCAGAATTAGGCATGGTTTCTGTAAACAATGGCTTTTAGGGATACCTAGACGTTAGTCCTCCCGTTAAACCAGGAAAACCGGGTGACTGAATGGATCTAGGTCAGACTGTCGAAATCCACATTGCCGAATGCCAGATTGCCAAGACCACTTTGCCGAATCCCAGTTTGCCGAATACCAGTTTGTCGACTCAAAAACCAAGGAATCCTAGTTTGCCAAAACCCAGTTTGCCGAATCCAGTTTGTCGAAAGTCAATTAAAAGCAGTGAGACATTAACAGCAGCATAAAATTCACGTTGGAACACTCTATCTTACCCTTATCATGACTACATCTGTACGGCGGACAGACTTGTGACATTGACTATTTAGATGCCATGAGAAGCCATTCCAAAACGCGATACTATCACTGAATATTTGTAAAATCAATAGTGGCTTATATAACTTGATTAACAAAACGGCTATCAGCTAAAAAAATAAATAAATATGCCTATCAGATTAAATGTCATAAGCATATTTATAATAAATATTATAATCAATATATTGTTCAATTAAGATAATAATATGCGTAAGGAAATAAATATATCAATAATAACCTGCAAGTATACACACGTGGCAGTGATGGTACAGAAAATTGTCGACATGGAAGCCAACATGTCCGACAGGAGGTCCGAATCAAGGGACTGACTAGACAGAACCTCGGTCAGGGTCCTGGCATAAAAATCTCTGGAAGAGTTCGTGTATTAGTTTTAGGAATGGCCCAAACAGTGGTTTTCGGCCACAATATTAGTTAATTAGAAATCAAAATAACGTCATGGATAGGCAGTTATTATGTTTGAGCCGACGGTCCAGGTTTTGCCGACGGAGGGGGATGCCTTACCCCCTCTCACGCCATCGCCGACACGTGCGTATGGCCTTTAGTACTTTAATAAAAGGTTTCGAAAGTCTGTATCATATTAAATGTTAACTGTATGTATGAATTACGACAAACTGGTCGGATACTGACTGAATTTAGCCTGGTTCTTCCTCTTCGACCTGACCGGCATAACGTTTCCTGCCAGTAGCTATGCTACTGCCGCTATAGGTCTTCGGATCTATAGGACACTCCAGCTGCTCCACAAACCACAAGGCAACAGCCAAAAAACAGCTATTATTTATAACAAATAATAGTCATAAGTGTTTTTCATGGTAAATGAAAAAACAACCTACCAATGACAGTTATATTGAAAAGACATTCAGCTTCATTTCCTACATAATCTTGTACCCAATATCGCACAGTGTACACTGTTGTTATTCCGTCGACGAGTTCAAATCTTTGTCCAGGCGAATGCGATTGTACTTCTGTTTTTATACCTTTATTATCGGATGCAGTTGGCTCCACCCAGGTGACCACTGCGTAAGACGTTCTTTGGTAGGTATCAACAGTTACGTCTTCCGGACATCCGTAAAATTGTGGGTCTTCATTATCTGCATCTTGTGCCCAACAGAAATATTAAATAATAATTATCTCTCTCTTGTTGTAAAATGATATATCTTAAACAGTAATATTGAACTTATAAATAAATAAGTATTATTGAACTTATAAATAAATAAGTATTATAAACTGACATTACAAATGGTAGCAGCCCTCTCTTTAAAGAGTGGCGGAATTTCAGAAAATGTTGTCCAAAAACTTTAAAGGGTGGTGCATAAAACTGTAAAGTGAGGATACATTTTTGGTACTACTTATGGTGTCGGATACGACGAGGCATGACCCGTGTCCCACAATTTAAATTTCATTTACTCGATACATTTTAATAAATTTAGTAATGCAAACAATATTAAACAAATAACTTAAATTATGAAGAAATGGAAACAATTCATCAAAACTAATACCTACAATTCAAGATGGAGTATCTTGTCCAAAGATGCGTACACTAAGTGTTGATGATATGTGGATAAAGATTTGAACACTATAAGAGACAGATCTAGGTCAGACTGTCGAAATCCACATTGCCGAATGCCAGATTGCCAAGACCACTTTGCCGAATCCCAGTTTGCCGAATACCAGTTTGTCGACTCAAAAACCAAGGAATCCTAGTTTGCCAAAACCCAGTTTGCCGAATCCAGTTTGTCGAAAGTCAATTAAAAGCAGTGAGACATTAACAGCAGCATAAAATTCACGTTGGAACACTCTATCTTACCCCTGTCTCTTATACACATCTAGATGTGTATAAGAGACAGCCAAACTTCCGGGGGGGGGGGGGGGGTTCTCCCGAACCATAACCCCCCTGGATACGGGCCTGTTATCAGATTTGAAACCAGAGCTTCGCCGAGAAAAATATGTGGGCCTAGCAGAATATCGTCATTTATATACTGTCATAACTACTATATTTGTTATGTAAATACATTAAAAAATATAGCTATACATTCACCTACACATGCACAAACTAAAAATCAAAATAATATTTCAAGATAAAGCAAATAACATTCTATATTTTAACTCCAAAGTTAAGCTCCTTCTCGAATACTCGCTCGCTGTTCTAAAGCTTCTAAACTGACTTGCTACTGGTTGATTCTTACCAAAATAAAAAGTCCGACGTCGTTTATTAACCAATAAAATTGATTTTTACATATGTTTTAGGTCATAAATAAAGTTAAATGTTGCCACAACAATGCCGAAATTGGTCCAATATCAGCAGAGCTGCTACGTAAAAACTTCGGGCGATTCACCACATTTCTACTGAAACCGTAGGTTTTACAAGGGAAAATATGAAAAACTACGGTTACAAAATCAAAAAGTCCGACGAGATTTGGCAACCTTATGGATTAAATTAAGATTATTAAAACTAATATTAAAATTGGAATAAGGATAAAAGAACTAAGGCGAAAATCGGACAAGTAGTAAAGTTATGAAGAGAAATGTGGGGGAAAATAGCGAAAATAGCTGAAAATCGAACGTTTCCAGTTAAATTAAATGAATTCGCGACGATCAAACTTATCCTTTTTTGTTTTCACTAACAGTTACATATTCTGTTAAAATTATTAAACAAGGATTTGGATGTGAAAAGTCTACAATAGGATTTAAAGTTCATAAAATTATGTAGTATTCCTAAAACAATCACTACAGATAATCCTACTTTATAACTTTATATTATATACATCACTATGTTGTTGTCATGTAGAAATAACCCTTTGTAGTATTGATTTGATCATATTTTCAGTTGTTGAATAATATTTGAACCTCTCGTCCCGTGTAATTTTTTTTGTTGGTAAAACGATCATTTATACCTTTTTCACACACGTATTTCAGTCTAGAACTGCATCGAAGACTGGCCCATTTGCCACTCGAGTAATTAATCGCAACACAATCTTTATTATAGTAATTGCTCGGTTGACCATAAGCAAAGTCTATAATTTAGTAGAAATGAAAAAGACATACATATTTAATAAATGGTATATAAATATAGTATTCCTTCAAACAGTAATGTTTTCTATTTTTAAATTAGTTTGTTCAACCTAGTGAAACATGGGATTTTCTAATATAATGAATACTGTAAAATTTTACCAAGTATTAATAATATATCTTTACATCTCTTGAAAACAGCATAATAGTGTAAGACATTAAACTGATAGGCTGGTACTTCTACCGGTAACAGAAGTGGAATTGTTCTAGCATTTAGGGAAGAAATCTCCTTTGAACTAAAGACACTGGAATTAGAAAGCAATAAGCATCAAATTTCAGTCGAAATACTCTTTTGGTTCCAGTCTGGTAAAAACCCTTTACCATGGGAATACATACGTTTTTCATAAAGGGAGGTAGAAATAAAATTGAAATCAATTATTAGCTCTTACTTCTATAAGAAGACCCTGTGTCATCAATCCATCTAAAGGTACCCTCTCTATATATATCTGTCAGGCCGATCCACACAGAATTGTAACTGGTTTTCTTTACGATAAAGTTATTCTCTGCATAACTTGTCACCACAGCCAAGTCTGCTCCTTTGTCTTGACACGAACTTCTGGCTGTTTGCCAAGATACACTGACAGCAAAATATTTATAACAGCTTCCTTGATATGAATCCCATCCTACCTCACATGAACTATCTTGAAAAAAAGATAAAAATATATATATCGATACAAAATACTGAGGCGTTTACATGCCATAATATTACGTAGGCCAATATAACTATTAAGTACTGGAGTGGTTAATTAGGAGTGGCAGTGTATTACAGAGTTTAATTTTTTTCTTAAACTGATAAAAACTAAAAGAATTTTAAAAAGTAGACTATATTACACTTAATCGTGATACCATATTTCCAACTATTTCCATTCATCTTAATAGCAATAAATTTATGTATGACATTTATATATTAGCGTGAGAATAAATAACCAATAATATTGCACAGATTTCAACCAATCATTAAACAAGGTTTGTTTATTTAGATAAAAGTGGTTGAATTTTGTATAAAATAATAATAATTCTTATGTTAAGATACTTACATATGTGATTTTTTAAAAGCTTTAAATCTATCGTTTTGAATATTATTTTGAATAGGCTGATTGTACTTTCTAATAACAATAGCAAAACCTTCTTTAAAAAATTTGATTTCAGGAAGTAGGGGTATCATTGTTAATCATTTTAGTTTCGTTTTATATGATACGAGTGGGGCACAGTACATATACAAAGGTATGTTTCCGTCCCCAAAAGATGGTCATTTGGATACCATCTTGGTTTTGGTATTCACTGATGTAATTTCAAAAAGAGTGCACCATCAGGTTTATCAAACAATCATTGAGTAAGTATTTGCATTGAGTTGGAAATTTACAAGTTTAGCTACACCGCACACAAGTCCACAGTACTATACTCATTACACTAGCGTAACTACTTGTGTCTTTAAAGACTAGGGATCATGTTAGTATCCGTATGTACATGTTGTAGGCCTATTTAAGTCGGGTGGCACTGCATTGCTGCTGCCGTGGTACACAGGTGTCCCGCCCAAATTTCTAATTTCCTATCTCCACCAGGTGATTTGTTTTCAGTCGTGTAATTTTGTGTGTGGGTGACAGGGTGTGTGTGCTGTCTCTTATACACATCTTCACTATGTTGTTGTCATGTAAAAATAACCCTTTGTATTGTCAGCTCAGATTCCCTTGAACGCATTTGTCGCCAGGCACCTCCGGTGGTGGCTTCAAGAGAACGTGCTTAACGTTCCAACAACCGTGACACAGCCCGTCTGCCGATTCGCGCGTTGTCTCAAAAACGGTGGCGATCTGGAGTGGGTGTGGATATGATCACTATTCAAAGGAAAACGTCCCAGACCAGATATTTCAAAAACTCATCAACAGATCTGATTAGGCCTACAACTTTCATGAAAGTTTATTCAAGTAATAAGGAAATCATCAACGTTTGGTGACGATCCAAATTTGGGTGTGAATTTGTGGGTCATTTTAAAGTACTAAGGTTCTAAACCTAAATATCTCAAAAAAAGTATGAATGGATCTGATGAAACTTTTCAGAATAGATTATCATGTTTCAATTAAAAAATGCTTACATTTTGGTGACGATCCGAAGTAGGGTGTGGATATGAGGACCATTTAAAAGATACGTTTGTCCTATACCGTAGGTCGATTCAATAGCTGTATGATGAATATTCAAATTAGTGCAATTACAGTAAATGTGTACAGAGTTTTTAATATGTACTAACTTTACATTTTTAGGGAACTGATTAGGAATAGTTTTGATGCATGTTTATATTTGAACATGTTACGCAATGAAAGAAATGGCAGGTATACAAATAATACAATAAAATGCGTTCCCGGTTGGCCGCATGAGTGTAAACTTTTTTGGAAGTAGGTACGGTAGGTTGTCACATTTTTTTTACAGTGTCAGTAAAATGTTTGAATATTATATGTTGCTTGGATTCTGTGTTCAAAACATAGCATGTGGAGTGAATAGTAGGCCTTCAATGATTTTTGGACAAATCATGTCGGATTACAAAATCTGAAAATGCCCACTCTAAAAAGAGTCCCCAAAAACCTAAAAGTAGAAATAGTGCCCCTCTTTGAAATAAAAAGTTCTCGTAATCTCGTACGCTCCGATGAGGGCAGCATAATCTTCCTTATGATCTTAAGAACATTTCTAATGTTAATATTTTCAAAATATCACTTAAAACCCATCTTTTTGCCTAACTCACTTGTCTCTGTTTCTGTCTGTGTCTTTTGTTGTCTTTTTTGTTGTTTTTTATCCAAGTATTTCTGTGTGGTATAAGATAGTTTTTTTCTGGAACTTATGTGGATCGGTTGCTCGGGATAATTTGAAATTTGGAGGGCAAAAGGAAAGGCGCATTATAAATGCCGAGTAACAGTAACGGCAATCAGCAAGAAAGCACAGTCAATCATGCGTGAAAAAGACCAGTCAATCAGCAAAAAACACACATTCAATCAGGCGTAATAAAAGCACAGTCAATCAGCAAAAAGGCAAAAAATCAGCAAGGTATTCCTAAAGCTCCTCATCGGAGCTAAAAATTAGAAGAGCTAATAAGATAGAAATTCACTTGTACAAAATGAATATGTCTTAAAATTTTAAAAAAGAAAGTCTTAAAACTTCAAACAAAATTAATTGAATACCTAGACGCTATTCGAACTCACGACCTTCGGTTCAATAGAGCACATCGTTAACCGACCGCACCATCTCGACGTGCCTTAAATAATGGTAATAAAAGTATCTACAGTCCTTTGTATTGGTGGCGCACTTCATAAAAATATCTATTAATTTATTAGTTAATCAATCAACCAAGTACTTCTAGAGCTCCTCATAATAAGAGAGAATTTTCCAAATAATTAGATTAAATAATTTGTGCAAAATTAAGATGTCTTTTAAAATTGGGCGGATAAAATAAATACAAGACGCGATTCAATCTCACGGCCTTTGGTTTTTTTTTTTCCAGAACCATACCGTGGAACCGTTGCACATTCGACGTGTATAGGAGTGGTAATGGCAGTAATGTACAGTGCAGCGTGACCACTCACAATTTTTGATATACCCAATGACTGGGTCTAAATTACCCAAGATTCTGCAAAAATTGCCCAAAATTACCCAAGCTTCCTGAAAATGCATTAAAATTTGAAAAAAAAACCCTTGTTTTTTCGCATGTATAGTTTCCCTTTTAGTTCAATTTATAAACCATTTTTTATTGAAATTGTTTGTGTTAATTATTAAAATGAATATTCATGCTGTAATAATACAGATAGAATAATACGCCCTCAGTCAGCCAGTGTTATCAGTAGATCAGTGATCACGTTAAATTATGTAATGCATAAAATTAGGTAAGATCAATGGCAACGCAAATCACACACAAACAATTCTGAACCCATGTTTATAGCAACTAACAGTCAATTAACAATGTTATGTGCACTTCGTTGAATTTTGCTTACTTGAATGGACTGAAATATACTTTGTTACTTCTTAATTCTTCCTTTATGACAAAAATATTTAATTTTCTTAGTAAAAATAAAATACCCAAGGATTTGAACGGAATAACCAAGAACCCAAAACCAAGTCAAAATACCCAAGATCTTGGGTAAATACCCAAGCAGTGGTCACACTGGTACAGTGAATCAGCTAAAAATTACACAAATCAGCAAAAAATCAGACGGATTTGCAGGTTACTCCTAGAGCTCCTCATCGAAGCTAAAAGGTGTTTGGGCGAGGTACTGTATGTTTTTGAAGAGGAGAGGAGCAAATCGAGTTTGGGTGGTAGTGGCGGTGGTTGAAGTAAATTAGGAACATATTTTGGAGGATTTATTTTATAGAAAGGGATTTGCGGTGGGCGGAGATATGCTGTCTACTGAGTGCTCTTTTTATTAGGCCTATTAATTGTTGTTGTTGCTGCTGTTGCTGTGCCCCTTTCGTAAACCTGCATTGGCACGCATTGACACGTAATGGCACTAGGTTTACTTGTTTACTATGGAACGCCAAAAGGATACAAGTGGCGCAGTGCAAAAGTCAGTCGCAGTGCAGAAGTCAAGTGGCGCGGTGCAAAACTGAAGTGGTGCAGTGCAAAAATAAAGTGGCGCAGTGCAAACTCAAAATGCGTGGGCCACCACTTTAGATTTGCACTGCGGCCACTTGACTTTTGCACTGCGATTGTAGTTTGTCCTTTTGGCGTCTGTGTCACTTGACTTTTGCACTGCGATTGTAGTTTGTTCTTTTGGCGTGATATCGCCAGAAGGACAAACTACAATCACAGTGCAGAAGTCAAGTGGCACAGTGCAAAAGTTAAGTGGCACAGTGCAAAAGTCAATAGGCGCAGTGCAAAACTAAAGTGGTGGCACACGCATTTTGAGTTTGCACTGCGCCACTTTAGTTTTGCCCTGCGCCACGTGACTTTTGCACTGCGCCACTTGATTATTGTATTAATCAAACTGTATTTAGAAAAAAAGATAAACTATGAGACAATAATTCCATACACATTTGCAACTCTAAGTGTAGCCCAAGAGCATGACATTTTCTTTCCTTTATTGAATGTTCTTCTGGAAATTGAATCCCACTTTAGTAGTATGTTTTATCTCCTTTTTAAATCACCATTTACACATGTAATTAATTAGGATTCATCATCTGCATCAACAATTGGGTATTTTTCTTCCTACTGGAGTGTACAAATACGAAAAAAATAAAACTTAACGCGTAATAACAGCACAAGAAATAAATATTAGGGAGGACGTATAGAAAAACTTGCAACGTATAATTTGATAATTAAAGTTATAAAATTTAAGGTCAATAGTAACATACAAAAAAATGCTAATTGCTGACAAATATTTAACATTTTCAATTATAAGAAATAAAAAAAAATCTGTGGGTCTTCGTTTTTCGGGTCTTCGTTTTGTAGACACCCATATAGGGTGTCTATAAAACGAAGATCCTTAATTATCTCATGCATCCTATGTTGGTGTCACTACAAATGACCGATGCTGCACATATGCGTCACTATACAGCATTCCTACTGCTTTTTTTTTTT